ATTTAATCATTTATGCTTTGGAGGTTAACTGGCGATACTGCTTCCTGTGTAGGAAGCGGAAGGGAGTGGGTGGGGGGATTAGAGGGATGCATGGTCTTGTCTCCCCTCTGTAGTCGGTTCTGTAGTCCATGTTTCATCTGCCTTCCGTTTCAGCGTGTTCCCCTCCTCTGTGATATCCTGCACCAAAGCACAGAGCAAACATTTACAGCACCACATGTCAAATATCAGTCCCACGGAGTCACTTTATGCTCTGTGTTTTTTTTAAATTTGTTCCAGGAACAAGAGCTGCAAGTTATCAGTCCTGAACAATTGTTGGGTACACTGAGAAACTTTTATTTATTGCCCAACAGCAGACGGTGTTCTCCTGTCAACTGAACACATGGTGTTCTTTTTGCAGTAGAAGTGGTTCCTCATTCCTGATTCTTAAAGTGATATTTGTGCAGAAAATTAAGACAAACATCAAGTTTTGGCTCCAAAGGCTGCTAAAGTCTGCAAAAGACTTTGAGCTCTGCAAAGCAGTTGGCCGGACTGAATGGTAGAAAACTGCAACTGTGCAGCCTCTGCTTCAAGTAGCTCAGGCACTGACGTAATGAGCCAGTAAAAGCAAACCATTGTATCCTGGAAGTGGGAATTGTGAAACAGGAGTTCGTTAGGTTGGGTCACAGCTTTTACGCACATTGAGTCAGTTCCAGATTAGGTCAACTGTCACTTTTGGGAAGTTGCACAGCTTTGTGCAGTAACATCTTAGTAACTTCACTTCTTATAATTTTTGCAATATTCTCCAGAGCTCATTCATTAAAATAAGTGCTGTAGCCGAAGATGCACCATTTTTTTGCATCCACATTTTCCATGGTATATCTGTTGGCATGGTTCCAGGGACGACTCGAATGATGGAAATTTTGCAAAACAAAATCCCCATAGGATTAATCGTAAGCGATCCCATTATTTTTCCTCTAGCATTACCAACTGGTCAGATTTTTCACTTATTTTATGAAATCACCAGATCAGCACAAATGTTTCCTCATAGTATAATTTATTTGGTGATGCTCTGACTTTTGAATTTATTTAACCAGGATAGTCCTGTGAAGATCAACAGTCTCTCTTATGAGGGAGACCTGGCCAAGACAGCAGCACACAAAAAGTTACAGCCAAGCAACCACAGTAAAAAACATAAAAGATACACAGTAACATGTAAATATTAGAACACCTAAGCACAATGGCAAGACCCAACTGACTCTTTCATCCTTGAACCTATAAGAGCTTTAAAATCAAGCAGAGAGACCAATTCACATAGTTTCAAGCTCAGTCTGAGCACTAGGATCAGACAACAAAACCAAATCTTCAGACTATAGCTACAGTATAATCTCTGGTCAATCAAGGTACAAATATACGAAGGAGGTTTACCCAGTATGGCTTTATAAATGAACAGATACCAGTGACTGAGCCTATCAAAAGTCAAAGAAGGCCAACCAGCCCTGATGTAAAGAGTACAGTGATGAGAGAGGGCTTTGCAGTTTGTAACAAATCAGATGCAGATCACCATAATACTGAACTAAAATGTTGCAGCAGCCAGTCTTTTCCCAGCCTCAAAGGAGAAATGACTTTTTATCAGCGTCATCATCATGTCAAAATGTGAAGTTGTCTAATACATTGGTTTGTGACCAAATACCTGCAAACTTATGACATCAGCCATGGATTAGCTGTATTTGTCTTTAGTGCTAATTAGCATGCTTGTCTTTGTGAACATGCTAACATATTGAAGTTAGCATTTAGCTCAAAGCACCAGTGTGCTAAAACGCCTCACGGAGCTGCAAGCATGACTCTAGTTTTGTTACAGCTTTAAGCCTGAGATAGAGTGGTGTAGGAATAAATCCTAAAACATAAATATATAATGATGAAAACTCTGTCTGAGTGTGTGTGTCTGTCTGTGTCTTTGTTCCACGTTTTTCTCCTCACTGACTTGGTCAATCCATGTGAAATTTGGCACAGCTATTGGCCAAAGGGGGGCACTATAGCAACCGATTGAAATTGCAAACTTTGAATGGGCATATCTCATGCCCCGTATGTCGTAGAGACTTGAAACTTTGCACAGAGATGCCTCTCCTCATGAGGAACAAATTTGCCCCAAGAACCCATAACTTCCGGTTATATAGATTTTCCACCATTTTGAATTTTTTGAAAAACACTTAAAATCGATCTCTTCCTAGGAAGTTTGACCGATCTGCATGAAACTAGGTGAACATAATCTAGGGACCAATATCTAAAGTTCCCTCTTGGCAAAAGTTGGAAAACTTACTAAAAATGAGCTTCTATAAGGCAATGAATATTGCGGAGGGCGTGGCTCATCACATAAAGGTGTATAACACCTCAAGGGTTTGTAGGCATATGACCACACATAATCTGAGGGGACCCGATCAAACAAAATGGGGGCGCTAGAGAGCTAATTTCTTATCTAGGCCTAACAGCCATACGATTTTTACTAAACTTGGTAGATATGTAGAACAGGATGCCTCAAGGTGACTGGAGAAATTTAACTCTAATTGGCAACTGGGTGGCGCTATAACAACACAAAAATGCTTAAAAATGGCTAAAATGCGACCGATCGCTGTGGCTCCCCCTGTGTACCAATGTTTTGGGTTTTTTTCCTAATTTTTGGTATGACTAAGTCATGGTATGGTATGCTGTACATAATCACGGAAACTGTCAGTATGTCATTTTGTCAGTCAGTCATTCTGTCTGTCCCACGTTTTGCATCTATGTGAAACTGCACATAGGCATTGAGGATTGGCATAGGTAGAAGGTGACAAAGCTACCAATGGGTATGGACTAGTGAGTTATTATTTTTGCGCTTCCATTTCCCTGAAGTAGATGTGTTTTTTTACTAGGTTTTTGGTTAGGTGCCTGAAATAAGGTCTGTAGTTAACTCAAGCTTATGAGACTTTCATGTTTTACATTTACACATCTTCAAAAAGGTGGTTGCTAACAAGTGGCTAAATTAGACTACAGAGTATTATCATGCCAAACATAGCTTTACAGCCCTGTTGTGGTGGTGAAAATTACACTTAAAGAATCATAAAACTAGTGTTCATTTGTGAAGATTATCTTGCCGAACAAAACGTGCAAGTATCATAAACTTTTGTTTGCCACAGAGATTATTTTCTGCAATAATCCAAAATCCAATTGAAAAATCTCACTTGCTTTATGGAGAGGGAACCAGAGTGATGTTAACGTCCAGGCAAAACATCATCCCTGCACCACTCTGTATACATGGAAATATGACATGGAAACGTGCTGTGGCTCTACCGTTACATAAGGCTGTGATAGCAGTGATCTCAACAGCTAAATACCTTCCAGATTAAGCTTGTCCTGCTGGCAAATATCATAGAATCTTTGGTTAACTCACAACTATGCTCCCTTATTGACGTACTGAATGTACTACAGCCACAGCAATGTGGTTTTCACCTACAGGTGCAGTAATAAAATTGTCAGGGATTGTCTACTTACTGGACCAAAAGCAATGTTGTGCCTCTCTCTTTGTTGACCTCTCAAAAGCATGCAATAGTGTCAGTCTTCTCTCTCAATCTTCTCAACTTTCTTAACAAACTCGAGTCTATAGGCTTCATAAAATGTCACATTTAGTTTGTTTCATGCTCAGTTTACCAGAAGACTGTTGTGGCTGCTGGTGTCAAACCCTTGCTATCAGTTATGGGATGTCACAGGGATCCTTGGGCCCATAACATTTACATCACAGATAAATAACATTATTCCTCCCAATCAGTACTCACTACTAAACATAGTTGTTATGCAGATGACACCATTTTATATCCCCTGGTTCTGCTCCAACCTTGACATGTTGAAACATGAAATGTTTTGCAGTGTGTTTAGATTTATCATTAACTACAAGTTTCCTACTCATCATTGTTCTATGTATCACAAAGTTGGATTCACTTCCTGAATGACAAGAAGAAATAATCATCTCATGATATCTATCCATAAAGCTTTCAAACTATCTCACATCTCTTCTCATAAATATCTTGTAATTACAAAATACACTGAACAGACACAACATTAAAATCTCTGACAGCTAAAGTGAAAAACGTGATCTTGATGTCTTTACAGTGCAATGTGCTGCTGGGAAACCTTGGGTCCTGGCATTTCTGTGAATGCCACTTGACATGCACCATCCACCCAAACACTGTTGCAGACTGAGTACAGCCCCTTATGGCAACAGCACTCCCCCAATGGCATGCCACACCGCAAAAACTGCTCAAGAATGGACTGAGGAATGTGACAAAGACCTCAAAGCATCAACCTAGACTCCAAATTCACCATATCCCAATCCAATTGAGCATCTGTGGGGCATGCCGGAACAAGTCCGATCAATGGAGGTCCCACCTCACAACTTATAGGACTCCCAACGCTCTAGGACACCCCCAAATGTCCCGTGTCTATGCCTTGACAGGTCAGAGCCAAGTGCGATTCAGGGAGGCCCCACAGTGGGTACCGGCACATCTCACAGATGCTTGATCGGATTGGGATCAGGGGAATTTGGAGGCCAGGTTGGCGTGCTTGGTCTGCAACAGTGTTTGCATGTCAAGTGGCATCCACATGAACTTCAGGAGTCAAGGTTTCCCAGCAGAACATTGCATTGTAAAGAGATGATCAATGTCATTCCCTTCACCTGGCAGTGATTTTAATGTTGTGGCTGATAATTAATCAGATATCCCATATGTACCACTAACCCCTGCAGAACCATGTATGCTTTAAACGCGATGAAATACAAATTGCTTAATTGCTGATTGGACAAAATAATTGTGTTGACTTGGTATGACAGCAGCCTGACCTTTGTGCTCCTGATCCCACAGGAACATCTTGTAGCCAGGAGTCAATTGAATAGAGTCATTACACTGTGGCTTTGTTGGTTTCTTTGTGCAAACACCAACTGCATCTCACCACTAATTAATCTAAGTAGAGTACATGTATTTTTTTTTCTAATCCAGGTTTGAGCACAGCTGTCCAAAGACTGCGATGTCATCAAAAATGCAGAGCTCCAGTAGCATAGCGCAGGCCAGGCGGGTGGTGCAGCAGCTGAGGATAGAGGCCGGCATCGAGAGGATAAAGGTGCCTTTATAGCCACAGTCGTTCATGCCACCCTGTCTTGTCTCTTGTGTATGTCAAGGTGGATCAGCATGTGGACTGATTTCTTTGCAGGTGTCCAAAGCCTCATCAGACCTGATGCGCTACTGTGGAGAACATGCCAAGAATGACCCGCTGCTCATGGGCATCCCCGCTTCAGAAAACCCTTTCAAGGACAAGAAGCCTTGCACTCTTTTGTAGGTGAACATCTGAACTTTTGCTGCTTTCTTTTTTTATTATGTGGGAAACAAAAGCTGTTCACAACTTATCTTAGGGCCAGTGTACCCCCCTTTACTTTTTCACATGCCTGCTGCAGTTTAAGGAATGTATTCTAGATACCAGTTACACCAAAGAACAGGCAGAAGCTTGAGGCTGTGGCCTGGAGTTGAGCTGTACCATAGATGGGAGAGATCCTAACTCTCCAATTATAACAGCACACATAAACAAGCCCCCTTAATCATTAGTCCAATCAGATTTAGGCTTTCAGCTTTCACCTCTTGCTTTCATCAGGCTTGCTTCAGGAAACAGTTGTTGGAGGTTGTGTTTTACTGATAATGAGAGCCAGAGATAATGATATCCTGTCCCCAGACAAGTAAACTGTCCGTCACATGAAGACAAATAGACAGAGTGGAGGTCCACTTCCACTGATGCACAACTCCTCAGACACAATCATAAATAATAGTCTTGGCCATTAAATTGTTCTCAAACAACTCAAATCCTAATCAAATTGTTCTATCTCATTCAACCTTTCCAGAGACAAACAGTTCCCTGAAAATGTTCATGGGATTTTTTTTTCAAGGTACTAAGAACTGCTTTTACCAGTGTTAGGATGAAGTATAGCTTATTTACAGTCTAGATCCACAATTTTTTTGGATAATTCAACACTGAGGTTTTATTTTCTGTCATTACTTGTTACTTAAGCTAGTTGCAATCCTGTTATGCGGCAGACTTTCAATACATACTTCAATTAAATCCAATGCAAATCTATTGAAGGAATACTTCACCCACATAATTATCATTTATAAATGAATTAATTTGTGTAAAAAATGTTGCTTTTCTCACATGCCTTTACAGTGAACGAAGAATCCAAAAACAGAAAATTCTGTATGAATCTAAGTTAGCGGGATCTGTGTTAAACAACAGCAAAACTATATCAAAACATCAGTTTACAAACCCTCATAAAACTCTTGCAGTATGATCCAAGTCTCATTTATCCAGTCGTATGCTCAGTACTTGCCAAACACACCTGGGCACAAGCGTGCATTTAAACTCCATTGAGCAGAGTTCAAATGCATGTTGTTGCTTGTAGCGATGCAGTGGTTAGCACTATCGCCTCAAAGCAAGAGGGTTCTCGTTTGAACCTGCCGGCCGGCAGAGATCCATCTGTGTGGAGTGTGCATCTTCTGCCCATGTCAGCATGAGTGTTCTCCAGGTTCTCTGGCTTTCTCCCACACTCCAGAGACCTGATAGTCGGGTTAATTGGGGACTCTAAATTGCCCACAGGTGTGATTGTGAGTCTAAATGTCTGTCTCCATGTGCCAGTGTGATAGTCTAGCGACCTGTCCAGGGTGTCAGCTAAAATAAACTCCAGTCACCCCATGACCCTGAAAAGGCTAAGTAGCTACTGACAATGAATGAATGAATGAATGTGTTTGTGATGTACTGATTCTCCGTGCACAAGTTTTTTTTTGAGTGTTTGTAAACCGATATTTTGATTTAGTTTTGCTGTTGTTAATTGCGGCCTACTTTTACTCCAGTTCATCAAGAATGTTCTCTGCTTTTGGATTCTTCGTTCAAGTTCAAGTTTTCTTGACGAGTTCAACGTAACATGGAATAACTGATCAAGAAATGATCATTTTGTGGATGATGTCTTGCCTTAAATTGTGCAGTTTTAATACCAGAGGGTAGAATTCTCTTGACAAAACTGTCTAAGTGTCTTTTTTAGTCATTTTCTTTGCATTTGCCTTAAAAAATGAATGTAAAACTCAGTCCAACTATCTCTAAAAATGACATGTTCAGATGAGATCATTGTACATTGTGCATGACCCTTTTGCATGAGGTATTCCTTGATTTATAGAAAGAAATATTCATTATGAGGCCATCATTGCTGAAAGAAAAGGATTCAAGACCATTCTGTGCCATCTTATCACATCTACCTACTTTAATGTCACTATGTTCTTTCTGCAGAGCCAAGGCTGTACTATTCAGGCACTTTGAAACCGGTTAACACCAGATGACTGTTATACTGTTGAGTGTAAAAACATTCCATGTTTACAGCTGCTCTAAAACTTTCTCTGATTTTATGACGACTGGCAGTGTGTAGCTGTGTCTTTGTGTTGTGTGTGTTGGTGCTCATGCAAAACATAAGCAACTAATTTTGCAATTTTACCAGCCAGGGCCTTAATAATGAAGTGATCCGGCTTCAACCTCTCGACTACCTTTTTAGTCACATAAGTGCTGTTGTCTAATACTGTGAATAAGGAAGGCCCCTAAGGGATCTTACAATAGGCTATTAACTCAAAATGACTCATGTTCAATAATGGTTTGCATCAAGATAGATCTCATACGTCCATAAATATTGTAGCGCATTATGGTTATCCATGAACCACAGTGTATGCTTGCTTTTTAGGATTGTGCTGATTCAGTTGAACCTCAACTCTGCGTTTCTGTTTTGTGACATTAATTCAACTTTTTGAATTAAAACTGAGCGTGTTGTTGTTTCAGTCAGTTTTTACTTGTGAATATGAATTTGTGTTTTTAGTAGCGAGACAATTACAATGGTTTCTCACACCCTGTGAGTGTAGGTCAGAACTTATTGTATGTCATGTTCTGCCTTTACCTGTTTGTGGTAAATGCAAATAAACCTATGAAAAACACGACATTCATTTTATTATTTTTTTCAACTAATGTAAGATAAAAGAAAAACACAAACTAAACGTTATAGGAAAAGCAGTATTTTGACAGCCTTGGTTGCTAAGACGGAATATCTGTTGAGTTAATGTTCCGTTAAGCATGTGTTTAAGAGCGTGTTGGATGCATCCATGTATTAGTTATTTATTAGTATGTGAAATAGCCATTTGTATGAATCGAGTGACAAGTTGTAACTTGTAGTGAGTATTATAATTACTGTGCAGTTCCTTTTAGCTCTGTGGAGTGTTTTAGCATCTTTCAGCTCATTGTTTTGAATTTATAGCACACAAATTGACTGTTTTGGTTCACTCTCAAGTGAAGCATTTAGCAGCTAAAGATCTTAGGAATTTGTGGAGAACAAATCAGAGCTGAAAGGAGAGTGAAAATTTGATTTCCAGCTGTCTGATAGATAGAAACACAACTCTAATTGACCTACGGCTAAGCCATGCCCCCCTCCACTCACTTGGACAAACTATCCACATTCAGTGACCGGCGCTATGCCAGGTGTCACAGTACACGGCATTTCGCAGGAGGCAATTGATGTTTTTTGGGGACATAACGATCAGATGTCATTGAGAAGTAACCAAAAGGGCCTAAACTACGCATTGGAGGGATATATTCATCATTTTATTGTTGAGAAGGTCGATGAAAAGCTTAAATTACAAGCCAAAATTTACAGGTCACAGTGTACGCTTGTGAACCGCATCTCGTTGCCATCGCCATCAAAGACAACAAGTTTAAGCACCGCTGAAGTTAAGGTTTTTGGCTCAGAATATGAGAAAAGGATAACGGCCTTTTTACCATCTTTACCAAGAGTGTCTCTCCGTTAGTTTGGTGCTACAGTATTTGCACTGAATCATTCAGCATAACGTTTGCCAACCTTTGTTATCTCTGCCATTACAGATAAGTTAATGAAGCTAAGCTCCAGAAGTTAACATTAGCTTAACTAGAGCCCTTTGGACAACAGCTAACAATGATGTACGATCACCAAAGTACAAAACTAGAACAAAATAGGCTAATGAACTCCCAGCAAACAAGGTGACATGATGAACAATGCAGCTAGGAGCTAATGTTAGGCTAACTTTAGCTAACGTTAGCTAGAGATGTTAAAGATAACTTTATATTTCTTTCCAGCAAAGTGACAATATGTTGCCTCAAACACAATGTTGACTTACCTTAGAACAGATGTAGACATCATTGTTAATCTTATTCACGTGTTAAAAAATACACCTCGTCGCCCAGCTTCTCAGGATACCTTGTGTCGGAGTTGCATGTACCTCATGCACACCGTTTGACCATTTTTAAACTTCAAATCTCCAAAAAGCTCATAAAACCGAACAAAACTGACTTTCTGTAATGCATTTCAATGGACGTCCAGGCAGAGAATGCCCGAGTGTATGGGAATGGCTATACGCACTGTGATTGGCTCATTGTGTTTGCTCTATCATGAAATGCCATGGGGCCAAAAGATTTTTTCCATTGCCTTCCATTGTGAAAGAGACATCTGTAAATCAGTTGATACATTTTTTTGAGTGTCATAACCCCCACAACCTATACTATTGGGATATGATCCATTTGGTCCGATAACATTTCGAAAGTCTAGAAGAGCTGCAAGATTATATAATTTTATCCCTAGTCAAGTTACTGGAGCACTAAACCAGAAGTTAGCCGTTCGGCTGTGGTAAGTCTCCAGTGCGCTTGCTCTATGGGCCTCACGATGTGCAAGATTAAGGTGTTTTATACCAGGGATATTGAGGTTTTTTGGCTTCATGCACCACTGAGCAAATTTCATAGGGATGAATAGAGCTCTGCCTCCAAGGCTGTCACCAGTTCTCTTGTACATCGATGGTCAATCCCCATAGACCCTCATGTTAAAATAACTTTACAGCAGAAACAAACATCTTTGCAACATGGCACATACAAAATTCCTCATCCATGACAACTGTACGGGGGTGTATTTTTATATGATTCAGTGTTTTAAATCTCTCCAAATATGGTCAGTTCTGGCTCCAAAAATCCAAGATGGCAACAGCCAAAATGGTTTAAAATGGGAGTCCACAAACCAATAGGTGACGTCATAGTGTGCACATTCATTATCGTAGGCCCCGATCACACAGAAAGCACATAATTAAATACTAGTAAAAAAAAAAAAGAAGCTTGCTACGCCTTTTTATTTTTGCCATGCAGCCACCCCATCACGTCCTTACTCTGACCCTTCCCATGTACTCAGTCTACCTTTTTTTTTTTTTTTAATCTCACGTTAATTAGTCGCTAGTTCCTAAAATGTTGAGGCAGAGGCAAATAGTTTGCTGGGCACAGGGAAACATGAGACCCTAAAAAAGAGGGTGGATAGTTGGTCCAGGAGCTTCTCGTCCATGATGGCCATTTCCAGGCATATTTTAGGATGACTCGGGGGCAGTTTGACAACCTGCTGTCTATCATTGGGCCGTTTAGCTCTGGGTATCCAGCAACTGCTACCACCAGTTTCTCCTCCACTGTGAACTTGTTGTTGTGACCACCTCTCGAATCATCTGATTACACAGTTGAAGTTTTTTCCAAATGGAAGCAAAAAGCTTCATTCTCATTAAAACAATCACTAAAAGCTGCTTCCAACTGTTAAAATGCTTTCTGTGTGATCGGGACCTTATACAATCAGTAGTTTACAGCTTGCTACGTTGCTAAGTGGCCAACAAAATTAAATAATGCTACTTTAAAATAAAACTTACAGACTCTTTGTTCTGATCAAAGGTTAGTACAGTTTTGTCTTGTTGTTCCTGGCTACATTAAACTTCACTGATGTGTACAGAGTCCCTGTGGTTTGACTTCCTCAAAGTGTTCACGTGGGAACAACTAGATACTCAACCTGAGAATTCAGCTATTACACACCGCACGCTATCTGATGGTATTCATGACTACAGTCTGTATTTTGAGGGTAGTAACACCTGCCTGCTCAAACTGAGAGAGAGATACTTATTCTGCCATAACTACTTTTACCTTATTTGCACTCAGTAGTCGTTCACTGGTCCCATTGTTAACCAGTTGTCATTCCTTTGTTGGGTTCACAGGTCACCATGTTCAAACAAGAGGATGAGTCTCTCTAGTTTGAGGTCAGGAGCAGATAAACATTCGTGTTTGCTCCAATTTCTCAGTGAAGGTTCTTCTGCTCCCCCGAGACCTGGCCACCCTGTTATGCAATGACGGCTCGGAGCTGCCCTTTCTCTCCTTTCTCCTCAGGTGTGATGTTACAACCACAATTGGGTCAGGCCATATTTGTTGGCCCACATTGATGTAACCCTCACTCATATCAGATGATGGATAGCGCTGGCTTTGTAGCAGCATCGTTTGCAGTGATTGTATTACCTGTCGGAGTGGTGCATAAGCTCCGGCATAAGCTGTTGAGCCAGTATCTCCAATATCTCACCTGGTTTCAGTGTACTCCCTGTGTGACAGGAAGACTGTGGTTAAGACGGAAAAGTGATTCTGTCTTTTAACCTTCTGGAGTCCACAGATGCGCCAGTGCATCCAAATCACATGACTGATGCGCAGTCACGCAGCTGTCTCCATTTCAAGTTGTGTCGAAAGTGCAAACTTCAAACTATGTACCACTTTTAAATTGTGTTGATAGGCCAAGTGAAACCAGACTTATGATAAATAATTTACACCATGCTTTTTCCTGGATATTGTCATCACATCTGGTGCGCGTTTGGTGCAGCAAGAAAGGGTAAACACAGGCTATTCTAAAGAAAGTGCCTGCGAGCAGAAGAAAAACATGACACCCCCTTTCCTATTGGTGGTGTTTTTTGTGCTATTTTAGGTCCAATGTGTTAATACAGTATGTCAAATTGAAAAAATAACAGTTTTTAAGGTGAAATTTAAAGGTAAAATCAAAAGTAGTCAAAAACGGCCAATTATACCCTCGATCACAAAGGGTTAATAATCAAAATGGCTTTCAGGTGTCATCCTGCTCTGGTATTCCTGGTATTATTATTGTTCAGAAAAGAACAATCTCAGACTTTATTTTGGCGCTTTTTGTGTTTCATCCAGAGGCACAGTGTGAACTTCTACAAAATGTTTACATTCTGCTGAACTTCCTAAAAAGAGAGACATTAGCAAAACCTCAGCGTCATTGACAAGTGTTGTGTTTCTGTGGAACTGAAGAGACTCTTGCATCAGTTCAGCGAAGGGCGGAGCTGCATGTTTTTCTCCTCTGTGCACATTTTATCACATTTCCAAAACTGCACCCTTAAACACAAACCCTCAGGCCTCTCGGTCACGCCCTGCACTCTTCTCCAGTCCTCCAGTATTCTGACCCACTTTTCTCTCCCCATCTGCTCTCTGCCACCTGATCGGACCACCACAGAGGACTGTTTTCCTCTTCATTTCCCCGGGTGCACACTGTCACCTCTGCAGCAGGTCAGCCACTCTGTGCACGCTGCCTGTTAATTACAAGTGCTACTATTGTCAGCGGTCAGGGGGGGAAGGCCTCTATTCACAGGGCTATTTTTGCCATGAAGCTAAAGCACTGTACGGCTCTAGCAATGGAGACCTGAATAACCCTGACTCATGCACCCATTGTCTTGTGACCCTCTGTGTTGTACAAGGCTTTGTCCCTCCCCATTCTGCGTAAGCACCAATAATTTCTGGTTTTCTCTTTTTTGCACAGTCTAAAACAGGTCTCTGGTAGGTTATTTTTCCGTCTTGCCTCTCTGCTATTTTTAATCCACTCTGCAGTAAATTTAGCTCTGATTGCGTAGCTGCAGAGGGCCGGGAAGAATGAGCTGTCACGATGAGCCACTCAGACTCGCACTACAATGGGAATTCTCCCCCCTTCAATGTAATTAGATCCTCAATCTGTGCAAAAGGTCACATTTGACTGGAGTTCCCATGCAAGAGCAAGGCTGGTTTCAAGAAATCTCATGTCTGTGGCTCATACTGGAGCATATACTTACTTAAGTACACTTACAAGG